TGTGTAAGTTCTATTCAGTTGTGTATGTGTAAGATAAAGTCTTTGAAAATGTAATAAGTTTTACGAAACGCGCTCAAGTGTCGCGTCAGACTAGAAATAAAAATGAATTTTGGAGAATTGATTTTTGAATTACCACCAACAGTGAAAAGAAACGTACGAAAGATCGAGAAAATTCGTGTTAGAATTATTAATCTTACTTTTTCGGTCATATTTAATAATATATGTCTACAGGAAAGACTGGTACTAAAATATACTAATATATATATATATATATATATATATATATATATATATATATATATATATATATATATATATATATATATATATATATATATATATATATATATATATATATAATTTTTAAATTTAACCTTCCTCTCATATTCGCCTCTTCAACAATTTACCCTTTCCCTACACCCCCTTACCTATCATCCCCCCTTCCCTCCCCTTCACCCCCTTGCCCATCACCCCCCCCCCCCCTTCCCTCCCCTCAACCCCACCCATCTCCCTGTTTTGTCTTACAGTGCTGAATGCTGACGTTAATTACCTGGGACATTTAATTTTCAGGAAGGCATAACAAAATTTGGTATGTAATTGAATATTATATTAAGTTGGCCGTGTGTGTGTGTGCGCCTCTTCGTGACACCACTGGTGGCAGGTCACATATGACACCACTGGTGGCAGGTCACATGTGACACCACTGGTGGCTGGTCACATGTGACACCACTGGTGGCAGGTCACATGTGACACCACTGGTGGCAGGTCACATGTGACACCACTGGTGGCAGGTCACATATGACACCACATGTAAGCCGTAATAGTTACGGATCTAATTCTAAAACGAGAAAGCATAAATGTTAGAAATAAGATCAATAGGTTATTAGGCTTCAAATCCTTATCCATTGGTAATAAAGGAGTTAAAACCCACAAGAGGCTATAGAGTTATAAAAATAACATCCTGAATTCGAGTCGAAAGAATGGGCTTAAACTGGAGAACTTTAAATATAAAAAATATATAGATATACACTGAATCGGAAATAGGGTAGTTAATCTGTGGGAAAAGTTACCAAATAGCATTATAGAGAGAAACTGATGTACAGGAAGCTTACTCCTACCTAGGTAGACATCATAGTTAGTACTTAGGTATTGTCAACATAGATTTAGAACCCCATACTCATGCTAGCGTGGTAGGTTCTTGTTCAACCTATTATGTTCATCCTGTGAGCAGTAGTTTACTGTTGACCCCCTACTCGTCCTGTGAGTGATAGGTTCTTGAACCTATTATGTTCATCCTGTGAGCAGTAGTTTATTGTTGACCCCATACTCGTCCTGTGAGTGATAGGTTCTTGTTCAACCTATTATGTTCATCCTGTGAGCAGTAGTTTATTGTTGACCCCATACTCGTCCTGTGAGTGATAGGTTCTTGTTCAACCTATTATGTTCATCCTGTGAGCAGTAGTTTACTGTTGACCCCCTACTCGTCCTGTGAGTGATAGGTTCTTGTTCAACCTAGTATGCTCATCCTGTGAGCAGTAGTTCACCCTGCGAGCTGCAGATGGTTGTTCATCCAGTCTCATGTGAATGGCAGCTGATTGCACACATGATACTCATCCTGTGAGCAGTGGTATATTGTGCATCATACAATCATTCTGTGAGCGGTAGTGTATTGTGTACCCCATACTCATCCTCTGAGCAGTGGTTTATTGTAGGAACCATGCTCATCCTGTGAACGGTAAAACGGGTTACAAAGGGCAGAAAACTTGTCATCTTCATGAGGCCTCTGTGAATAGCTGCTGGCTCGCACTTAGAACATTTAGATTTTTATTCTAATCCTCATACTGCTTTGGTAATCCGCTGCATTAGTCCAGCAGGCTTCTCGCTCAGCGATGTTCTGATCACCCATACTGGGCAGTCAGAATGATATGGTAACGAGTTCTCACCTCAAACGAGGGTCCCTAAACATGCTCCTCATTCCTAGTGATTTCCTAGGTTTAGTAAAGACAGGCTCCACCGACAACAAGGCCCAGAGGACAGTTTTGCCAGAGTCCTCGGTCAAGTTTTCGTTTTCTATCAGTTATCGCAACGGCGGTTAAAGAAACTGGAAACCCATCAGTATAAACAAGATTAATAATAATAATAATAATATTATTATTATTATTATTAACTTATTTATAAGATATAATATCACATAACAGTGGTTTATTTGTAGACACAGAGGTTGGATATGATATGAACCCCACGATACACAAAGGGTTTCGAAGCATGACGTCATTGTTTTGGTAAACTAATATTAATAATAATAATAATATGTAGAAGAATATAATGTATAAAATACATCGGGGAAAGTTTCTGAGTTCATATTAAGTGTAGGCTGTACATTTGGATAGGCCTATTAAGTTTAATAGAATATATATATATATATATATATATATATATATATATATATATATATATATATATATATATATATATATATATATATATGTCGTACCTAGTAGCCAGAACGCACTTTTCAGCCTACTATGAAAGGCCCGATTTGCCTAATAAGCCAAGTTTTCATGAATTAATATATTTTCTCTACTTTTTTGCTTATGAAATGAAGCTACCCATTTCATTAGGTATGAGGTCAATTTTCTTTTATTGGAGTTAAAATTGACGTAGATATATGACCGAACCTAACCAACCCTACCTAACCTAACCTAACATATCTTTATAGGTTAGGTTAGGTTAGGTAGCCGAAAAAGTTAGGTTAGGTTAGGTTAGGTAGGTTAGGAAGTCGAAAAACAATTAATTCATGAAAACTTGGCTTATTAGCAAATTGGGCCTTGCATAGTAGGCTGAGAAGTGCATTCTGGCTATTAGGTACGATATATATATATATATATATATATATATATATATATATATATATATATATATATATATATATATATATATATATATAATATTGTACCTAAAAGGCCAAGTTGTATAAGGACAATGATTTTCCTGAAATATTATATGTTTCAGATATTTTTTTCTTATAGAATGATACAGCTAATCATTACATTACGTATGATTTAACTTTTTCATTAATTCAAAACTAATGCAGAGATATGATCAAACCTAACCTACCTATCCTAGCCTAACTTAACCTTACATAACTAAGTCAAAAAATCATGTTACTAAATATAATAGATAATTATTTGTTTTTATTTATATAGCCTTGGAGCTCCTCCAAGTTTATATAAAGCTGTTTCGTCTGGGTAGGCCAAAGTTGAATGGTTTAAGAAATAGGAGTAATTAGTGACTTCCACCCATCGAATAAATTCAGAAATTTAAGTAATTATTAACCCCCACCTATCGGATTCTCCCGGAATTAATTGTGACCATTAGTGTGAAATATTGATTGAGAGGTTCTATGAGATTTTTGTGATCGTAAAATGTTTTATTCCTTTTGCTACTCATACAGTAGTTTCGTGGCTTGGTAATATTTATCTTTTATGAGAGAATGGGAAGAGGGAAGGGGTGATGGAAAGGGGGGTGACAAGTGGAAGGGGAGGATAAGAAACTCGTATTGTTTCATTCTTAATAAAAATTGTTGACCATTAACCAAAAGGCCGGGTTTTTTGCCCGAAACGCTATGCGTGCTAGTGGTAATTCCAGTAATTCCATCTATCATCATACTATCATGCAAGAGGAGCCACACATTTATGGATCATCCAATAAAATCAGCAGACTTCTAGATGTTACTACTGCTCGGCTTAGACTCGGTTGCAAGTATCTCTGGGAATTCTCATTATCTGCTGATGTAGACCTGACCAAATGTAAACTGTGTCAAGAAAATTATTCGCACACCCTCCGTCACTATGTGATGGAGTGCGAAAAGATACATGAATTTAGAGACAATTATATAACCAATGTTCCAGCGATGTGTAAATATTTCATTCAAAATGATCTGCTACCAGAAATTTTAGCCAAATATCCCCAGTTTGCAAACTGTAGGTAGTAATTAAGTGATTGTAATCTATCTACCGCTGCCCACTGGATGGGGGGCGGTGTGCAGGACAAACATATCAATTGTGACACTAGCTCTCCACATATGTCAGTTGCTTAATTTAGAAATTGTACTTGTGGTCGATCTCGAACCCATTGTTGATGTGACGACTTATATTGAATTTTGTAACTAGCTCATCAAGATTGTAACTTGCTTAGCTAAATGAATTGTGGGGTTCAGTCCCTGAGCCCATTATGTGCCTCTGTAACCCTTTCCACTACCGCCCACAAGATGGGTATGGGGTGCATAATAAATAAACTAAACTAAACGTGCTAGTGGCTTTACAAGAATGTAAAATCAACTTCATTTCTATGTTCTCTCTTAACCCCCAATGTACCTTCTTGTATATAAATAAATGGTCCTGGGTACCATTCAGGCTTCTTCGCATAAATAAATAAATAAATAAATAAATAAATAAATAAATAAATAAATAAATAAATAAAAAGTTAAGAGACCGGCCCGCGGGGGCTTTGATTGCCGGAACCAACAACGGGTAAACACATTTATTTGTTTATATATATACACGAAGGCATATTGCGCTTATGAGAGTACATAGCATTGATGTTCTTACATTCTTCTAAAGCCACTAACAGGCATAGCGTTTCGGGCATTGGCTGCAAAATGCTATAAAATGAAGGGTTATATATATATATATATATATCCCTTCATCTCAAGATGAATATACTATAAGATAAGGTACTATATACGTAATATCTCAGCGCACCCCCAACCTGGCAGCTCTTCACATGCGCGCGTCGACGCCCAGAGGAGCTGATGACTGTTTAAAAATCTGAAATTTTCACCTCATTCGCGTATCCCAAACAATTTGAACATTTACCCCGTGTATTAAAATCCCTTCTCTGAAGTCACATAACTCACAAAGACAAAGTAAAACTACGAATTAGCTATATTAAAAGGAGTTGAAACAATAGGAAATTGGCTATGTGGGACCCCAGAGAGGTTCTATTTACAGTTACGTAGACAAGTGTGGCAGAGAGACCGGCTGGAGCAAGAGGCTGCCGCCGCTCTGTCCTCTCAAACCTCTGATCCCTCTTCCTGGAGAGGCACAGGTGCTTCCGCAAGACGCATAATGGCTTACTGGCCATCTTCCGAAAACTTTGTAAGTATAACACTAGCCAGAAGCTGCACTTGAGAGCGTTAAATCGACAGAAAACGCCAAGTAGGCGTGAGAATGGGAGCCAGGAGGCAGTTGCCTACTCTCGTCTTGAAAGCTGATGTACACACGTGCCGTTAATTCAACCGTGTATATATGTATGTATGGGAGTTTGTTTTAGCTCTCCTTATATCCCCGTGCATTTTGTTTAGGCACCATTTTGTGGTAGCGTTTAGTAAATGCTTAAATTCGTATGGCCATCGCAGCGACTGAGAGATGAGGCTGCCGGTGTGTTGGGCTGTGTATATCGCGTTTCGTAATTTATTCCTTAGTAATGCCTCGCCGAGGGAAAAGGAGTCATTTCATCAGCAAGACGTAAGGGCTGAGATGTTCTTAGAAGCACAGGTCGCCGCAGGCCGATACTTGTTTTAAGAGATGGGTGTGGGAAGTTTTGTTTCGAGATTTTGTATTGTTTATGTTTCAGTGTTTGTGTATAGCGCCAGGTGTTTGTGTACAGGTGTGTATAGCGCCAGGTGTTTGTGCACAGGTGTGTATAACGCCAGATGTTTGAGGACAGGTGTCTAGCTTCCGGCGTTGTTGGGTTTTATCCCTTGATATACCGCAAATATACTCAATTCAAGGGGGAAGTTATATAATGAAACTACTAAACATTAACAAAAACAGGCTTAGCTGTTTGCTGGTAGTTAAATTATGTTATTCCACAGCTGCACAGCAGTTTGGCCACCACCTAAGTTGGAATCTTCAGGGGTCGTACTTTATGGTGATATATTCATATGCGTACATGTATTCACACATGCGTACACTCGTCCCTACACCATAAACGGAAACCAGCTACAAGAATCGGATAGAGATGATGAGTTGGGCGTGGTTATAACTGCAACACTAACACCAGAGGGACACACAGGCAGAGTGACATCGGCGGCATATGAGACGCTGGCAAACATTAGAACAGTTTGGAAACCTAAACCAGGACTCTTTTCAAAGACAGTCTCAGTGTAGTTAACAAATGGCATTCATTATTAAGTGAAGTGATGATGGGCTAATTTAGATATGGCTAAATTAGGCTAAACTAGACTATTAGGTAGGCTAAAATAGTTTCAAATTTAGATATGGTAGAGCCTAATTGGCTCAGGAACCTGTACACCAGGGGCCAGATTCACGAAAGCACTTATGCAAGCACTTACGAACCTGTACATCTTTTCTCAATCTTTGGCGGCTTTGATTCCACTTATTAAACAGTTAATGAGCTCCGAAGCACCAGGAGGCTGTTTATAACAATATCAACAGTTGAATGGGAAGTTTTCATGCTTGTAAACTGTTTAATAAATGTATAAGTGCTTGCGTAAGTGCTTTCGTGAATCTGGCCCCTGGTGGATTAAGTATTGAGAGGCGGGAGTAGAGAGTTGAAGCTCAACCCCCGCAAGCACAACTAGGTGAGCGCGCGTAGCCATAAATGGAACAGATGTTGAGAGAGAGAACGAGGCTGGTATATGGGATGATTACATACCCCGCCTGGGGAGGTACCAACCACCACCACCACCACTACTACCACCCTGATGCTGTAGCAAGCTGAATATTGCGTACTTGTCCCATCAAGTCCCTGAGTGTATGTGCTGATGGGCTGAATGGGGTGGTATCGTAAGGGTTGTTGTTTCTTTATATATATTCACGGTTAATGCGTAAGGCACTGTTAAAACAAGTGCCATTAGAAATTGTTTAGGAAGCTGTTGGTATGCGTTCATAGCTTATCGTGTTAGCGATAAGTGGGTTTGCGCACGCGCGTGTGTGTGTGTACTTGTGTATGTGCTATCGGTATCTTGCCAGTTACTACAGGAAAATGAGACATTGCTCTTTTTGCCTCGCCTACTACAGCATTATAAATTAACTTTATTGATCGAATTCTTTGTTGAATCGTGACTTCATTTACGTCTTTCAGTACTGCGCATGTCTACCCGTATTTCCTTATATTTCATTTGGTTTCTCAAGCTGCCGCCTGGAAACTGATAGTGTGAGAAAGATAACTGCTTGACTTAAAAAAAGCAAGCGTACAGTAGTGTATCTGTGTATACACCTATTTGTGCCCATGGGCCGAGATTTAGCTCTCTGGTCACGCCTTTTTAGCTACTGGTTGTCTAATACATAGGTTTTGAAAAATAAGCCACGAATCACTTTAAAAATAGCTTTTTTTAACTTGTTCATTTATTAATCGTAACTACTCTTACGCTAAAAAATATATACTTCTTAACCTTTCTATAACATCTATTTCTTAAGCTATTCATGCTATATTGTTCTGTTGGTATTGTGAAAACTTCCTCTCTGTTAAATGCCTTAAGTACTTTATGTATTATCTTCTTACTCTTTTAAAGTGACGTTATGACCAGCTCTTTCCTCATCCCCGATCTATTTTAATGCTGGACTAAGCCTCGTAATCATCTATATCTCCTAAGTTTCCTTGTGCTATCTGAGGCGGAACGTCGACGATAGGGCGGCATAATCTGGGAATAGCCTCTCGCTCGCTGCTATACTGAACATAAAGTATCTTTATTTACGTTACTGAATACTGTTTTAACTTTGCCATCAGAGTTGAAAAATCCGATGACTTTCCCAATCAATATATATCTCTGGGGTTTAGCTTGGTGTCACATTTGCAAATGTAGATATGATAGAGCCCAGTAGGCTCCGGAATCTGTACACTAGTTGATTGACGGTTGAGAGGCGGGACCAAAGGGCCAGAGCTCAAACCCCCCCCCCCTCCCGCAAGCACAACCAGGTGAGTACAACTAGATGAGTACTTCGCTCCCAGGTCTTTTCTCTAGTTACAGAGGTAGTTTCCCTTTCGTTGTGTACCGTCCTGCTAGGCTTGTCTTCCCATCTCTAGCTAGGTCGCTGATATGTGTGAGAAACTGTACTTGTTCGCGAAGGACTCTTGATGGTTGTAGGTTAATGCAGTTGGAATTTTTGTTCTTCACTGTGGCTCTTAACTCCTATCAGTTAGGTAATCCCTCATCCATGTTTTGTCTCCTCCACTTCCACCTTTGTTTTAAATTTGTGTAGTGTCTTATACTGGATAGATAGTTTTCTCCAAGAAGTGCCGGACCAACCGGGCTTGCTTAGGTGGATATGTGGGCCTGCGGGCCGCTCCAAGCAATAGCCTATTGGCCCAAGCTCTCAAGTCAGTAGAAGAACTCCCAGAACCCCATCAGCCAGGGCTGTGATCGGCAGCACACAATCTATTTACCTGTCCTTCTCTGGCTTCTTATTTACGTTACTTTATCATAGAACTTTGGTAGGTTCGATTGGTGTGGTCCTCCCACCCCCCAAAGTCATGTTGATCCCACGTGACCCCCTCTAGGGGGGGGGGTTTAATCTCAACCACCCCCCCGTAAGCACAACTAGGTGGGTACACACGCGTACCCGCACTACTAAATTAGTGTGCGTCTTGTCCTTGCATGTGTGGTGCGTCTCTGCCCTGGAAGTGAACTCTCCAGGGGAGGAGTGTCCCATGCGTGTGACGGCACACAATCACCAGATTGTTGAGAGCTGTTCTACCTCACGTTCCGCCCCCTCCCCTCCCTCCTCTGCCAGGTCCTTGCACCCCCCTCCCTCCTCTGCCAGGTCCTTGCACCCCCCTCCCTCCCTTCTCTGCCAGGTCATTGCACCCCCCTCCCTCCCTCCCTCTGCCAGGTCCTTGCACCCCCCTCCCTCCCTCCCTCTGCCAGGTCCTTGCACCCCCCTCCCTCCCTCCCTCTGCCAGGTCCTTGCACCCCCCTCCCTCCCTCCCTCTGCCAGGTCCTTGCACCCCTCTCCCTCCCTCTGCCAGGTCCTTGCACCCCCCTCCCTCCCTCTGCCAGGTCCTTGCACCCCCTCCCTCCCTCTGCCAGGTCCTTGCACCCCCCTCCCTCCCTCTGCCAGGTCCTTGCACCCCCCCCTCCCTCCCTCTGCCAGGTCCTTGCACCCCCCTCCCTCCCTCTGCCAGGTCCTTGCACCCCCCCTCCCTCCCTCTGCCAGGTCCTTGCACCCCCCTCCCTCCCTCCCTCTGCCAGGTCCTTGCACCCCCCTCCCTCCCTCCCTCTGCCAGGTCCTTGCACCCCCCTCCCTCCCTCCCTCTGCCAGGTCCTTGCACCCCCCTCCCTCCCTCCCTCTGCCAGGTCCTTGCACCCCCCTCCCTCCCTCCCTCTGCCAGGTCCTTGCACCCCCCTCCCTCCCTCCCTCTGCCAGGTCCTTGCACCCCCCTCCCTCCCTCCCTCTGCCAGGTCCTTGCACCCCCCTCCCTCCCTCCCTCTGCCAGGTCCTTGCACCCCCTCCCTCCCTCCCTCTGCCAGGTCCTTGCACCCCCTCCCTCCCTCCCTCTGCCAGGTCCTTGCACCCCCCTCCCTCCCTCTGCCAGGTCCTTGCACCCCCCTCCCTCCCTTTGCCAGGTCCTTGCACCCCCCTCCCTCCCTCTGCCAGGTCCTTGCACCCCCCTCCCTCCCTCTGCCAGGTCCTTGCACCCCCCTCCCTCCCTCTGCCAGGTCCTTGCACCCCCCTCCCTCCCTCTGCCAGGTCCTTGCACCCCCCTCCCTCCCTCTGCCAGGTCCTTGCACCCCCCCTCCCTCCCTCTGCCAGGTCCTTGCACCCCCCTCCCTCCCTCTGCCAGGTCCTTGCACCCCCCCTCCCTCCCTCTGCCAGGTCCCTGCACCCCCCCTCCCTCCCTCTGCCAGGTCCTTGCACCCCCCCTCCCTCCCTCTGCCAGGTCCTTGCACCCCCCCCTCCCTCCCTCTGCCAGGTCCATGCACCCCCCCCTCCCTCCCTCTGCCAGGTCCTTGCACCCCCCCCTCCCTCCCTCTGCCAGGTCCTTGCACCCCCCTCCCTCCCTCTGCCAGGTCCTTGCACCCCCCCTCCCTCCCTCTGCCAGGTCCTTGCACCCCCCCTCCCTCCCTCTGCCAGGTCCTTGCACCCCCCCTCCCTCCCTCTGCCAGGTCCTTGCACCCCCCCTCCCTCCCTCTGCCAGGTCCTTGCACCCCCCGCCCCCACCTCTGCCAGGTCCTTGTAACCGCCCCCCCCCCCACCTCTGCCAGGTCCTTCCCCCCCCCCACGTCATGATCTACCAGCTCCCTATTTGCGCTCTTAAATTGTTTCTCTCAAATCCATTTATTGTTCCCTAATCCCATGTCCCGTCTAGTCGGCCCTGACTCTTTATACGCATGTTGATAAATGTCAGAAGATTTAAAAAATACATCTATCCCTTTGAGATGTATTTTTTTCACGTCTCAATAAACATACTTGAATGTCAGAAGAGGCCGGCGGACCGAACTTGGGGCCCCTGGTGGTGTTTTGTACGAGGGAGCGTTTCATCTTTGATTACGTGGCGGAAAATTTTTCAGGGTAGTGTCGAAAGTATTTGAAAGGCTGCTGCTGCATTTCCTGCTGTTGCTGCCTCTTCCACCGGTGTTGCTGCTGTTCCTACTACTATAACAAGTGCAGGTATTAATCGTGTGTGTTTGGGCCATTGTGTTGTGGTTTTGTCTGTACTTGCAAGGTGTTGAGATTTCAGGGAAGACGTATATTTAATATTCTTGCGTGTGCTCGCATTGGTTCTCATTCAATTGATATGTATATCAATTATCTTTTTATATCACAAGTGATTCAACAAGAGGCTCACAAGAGTCACCATAGATGTAAATTGCCTTGTTAGTGAGTCAGGCAGTTACTAGTCATGCTCCACACTCGCCCAGCTGGGCGCGGCCACGTGTACTCACCTATATGTACTCACCTATATGTGCTTGCAGGATCGAGCATTGACTCTTGGATCCCGCCTTTCTAGCTATCGGTTGTTTACAGCAATGACTCCTGTCCCATTTCCCTATCATACCTAGTTTTAAAAGTATGAATAGTATTTGCTTCCACAACCTGTTCCCCAAGTGCATTCCATTTTTCTACTACTCTCACGCTAAAAGAAAACTTCCTAACATCTCTGTGACTCATCTGAGTTTCCAGTTTCCACCCATGTCCCCTCGTTCTGTTATTATTACGTTTGAACATTTCATCTATTTCCACTTTATCAATTCCCCTGAGTATTTTATATGTCCCTATCATATCTCCTCTCTCCCTTCTTTTCTCTAGTGTCGTTAGGTTCAGTTCCTTCAGCCGCTCTTCATATCCCATCCCTCGTAACTCTGGGACAAGCCTCGTCGCAAACCTCTGAACCTTCTCCAGTTTCTTTGTGTTTCTTCAGGTGGGGGCTCCATGATGGCGCGGCATACTCTAAGACGGGTCTCACGTAGGCAGTGTAAAGTGCCCTAAAAGCTTCCTCATTTAGGTTTCTGAATGAAGTTCTAATTTTCGCCAGTGTAGAGTACGCTGCTGTCGTTATCCTATTTATATGTGCCTCAGGAGTTAGATTAGGTGTCACATCCACTCCCAGGTCTCTTTCTCGAATCGTTACAGTGTGTTGTGTTTACAGTGTCAGCTGATCGGTGTTACTCACGCAGTGAGGAATTTGAATGGAAATGACATTCCTCAACAATGTCATTTCCATTCAAGTTGCATCCAATTCCCTGGCACCTATTTATTGGTAGGTAAACAGAGGCAACAGGTGAAAAGGAACGTGCCCAACCGTTTCTGTACTGTATAGGATTGTACCCGGGACTCCCCCCCCCCCCCACCACCATGTTTGCGAACCGTGGATCTACTGGTATCGGGTAACCCTAAACGTGACGGATGGTAAACAATCTAATTACTATATCGTGGTTAATGTTACATTGTGATACAATCTTTGAAGAGATTTCGCGTGAAATAAGGATTTAATTCATATCAAGAAAATGTTTAATTATTTAAGTTTAGACATGAGATCGGCGTCATATTTATAGTTTTTTTGTAGAATAATTTTTTGTTGTATTTCAGATAGGAGAGAGAATGTGACATGACGTCACAATAGCCTCGTGTAGTCTACCCTGCAAAGAGAGAACGAGAAGTGAATTATTTGTGATGTAAAAGAAAATCAAGAATGACTCGACATCAAATATTCTTGGCATTCCTATATTTCTTCGTCGTTCTTATCGTCTTACCAATTTTGTGTAGCGAGAAGGTGTACTCTGTGTACTACCAGGAAAATGTTGAAACAAACAGTTACATTGACTCTATAAATAATGAACATCGCATAGAAGGGGTTCAAGAATACTTGCTAAGAACAGACCCCAAAGCCTCGTTAACATTCTACGAGTCAAAGTTGTCTGGGTCTGTGGATAATCTCGTTATTGTGATCGCCAAAAAACCTGCGCACGAAGAAAACCTAACATTAACGCAGCTCGTTGCAGAAATTGATAGGAATATCAGAAACCAAAAATTCTTTCGTAACGCTATGTTGATCTGCAATGCCACCAGGATACCTTTCCCAGAGCTGGAGTATTTAGCGCGGTTTTATCCTGTTAGATTAGTCGAGAATACCACAAGTTGGAAACTGCTGAACAGTGAGGAGGTGAAAAAGCATGATTTTGTCGAGTGTGCGAGACTAGGCTTGAATTCGGTGAATTTTAAACATGTTACTCTGATTAGAGACGTTGTAATTCCTTACCCCGGGTTCTTGGGTGTCGTTAATCACATGATCAGCAATAGACTCAACAGTGGCATAGTTCGTGGGGAGCTGCAGGAGACGAACACCTCCTGGCTCTTCATGCACCTCCATGAACCTTCACCACTCCGCCACTACCAGTTCTCCGGTGATTCTCTACGTGAAATTTTGCTGTTGACATGCAGTGGAGCGTTGCTGTTCTATGTAGTGTTCAGGTGGCTGGAAGGCCCCCTACAATCCTCATCGTCGCGTGTAACTTACACAATATATGGTGGCCTGTACTTCATCACTTTCGCACTGTTTATCGGGCGACCGTACATCAGCGAACTGCGACGGGTGGCCGCCGACATGTACCGCGTGTACGACCCGCCGGAGCCGATCAATTTCTCAGCCATGGCTCTGCCCAAGAGCAGCCTTCATGGCCTCCTCGCCCAGTTGAGCTTACTTCGCTGTTCATTATACTCGCCATTTCACGAAGTTCTGGATCACATGGTGAACACACTCGAGCTCCCCGGGTACGTAATATCCCCCAGCCTGGTCAGGTACGCTGCTAGGGCGTGACCCAAGATATTCCATCTCCTGCTAGTTCCTATGAAATATATTTATACCGAGTGTCAAAGTTTTTTTTTAGATATTTTATTATAATTTTTTTAAGGTAAATTGTATTCATTATACTTTTATTGTGTTGCGTCCTAGTCATCCCAGTGTCAACAGTTCTTGTTTTAGTGGCATAAAATTATAACTGGCTTGAGAAAAAAATATTTAAGTGGAAATATATATTTATCAAGATTATTGTTTAACAACAAAAAATGGTTGTCGGTATTGAGATCAAATAGATTATCTTAAGATAATAGTAAAAGGTATGACAGAGCAACTGTTATGTTCATTAGTGCAAGAGTTTTTTTTTACCACTAATTTAACAGGAATTGGCACCTATATGGAATTTAATTTAAATATTGTATAGAATGTACACAGATTTTGAGTTTAATGAGGATCTTTGTATGTCTAATGATCTTTGTATGTCTGGAAAGTTGTTTAAAAAACCACCAACTACATGTGCCCAAACGTCTTGCGTTGAATGGTAATTAGGTCATGTTGAGAGCATAATGTGTAGAGCCACTGCAGTACCAACATTCAGAACATCTGGCTACATATCTCCAAAAATTTGAAGAATACTTGTGTTTGAAATTGCATGAGGTTTGTAGACTATAAAAACGCAAATAGGGTCGCATAAATATTAGGTCCTATAATTAACCTTTTGTCAGATATCAGGATAAGAAAAGTGATAACCACAGAGACCTTAAAGATGTTGAAACTTTCTAAAGGGGAATGTAAAAAAAAATATATATATATTATATATTTTGCTAGGGTTAATTAGGCCAGACACCAATGCTTGGGGGAAACCTCAGAACCTAAATCCTTATTGTTAATGTCAGTTAAGATACATTATAGCTTTCAAATTGTTCTTCAGAGACTAATATATTTATAACTTTAGCATGTGAAAGTACACCAAATATTATAATAAAATCGAAGCTCAAGATGTGATGTAATAATCTGATATATTTGATAGAATATTTATATATTTTTTGAATATTTATAATACTTCAATAAATTATATATTATTTCAATATAAGAAATATAAAACTATCCCCATGAACCCCTCTTCTCCCCCCCATGATAATTTAGCATTAATATAAACGTCTCATTTTACATCTTAAACACACGTGGGGCCTCGTAGCACAGCAAACGGCATTTGGGATTCACAGTCAACGGACCTAGGTTCGATTCCCGCCCAAAATGGAAACAAATGGTCACAGTTTACTTGTCGGAAAATCCGACACCATTTAATATCATACAGGCAGATAATATTGCTGTGTTGTATAAACAAGTTAACCCATAGAAAATGTAACTTGTAGTGGAATTTCCGTTTATAGAAAACGGGATATCATTACCACATACTATTATAAATTCACCACCTATTATGGTGGGAATTATTCTTAAATACATTAGTCTTTGGACTTTACCATCATAAAAACATCTCGTATAAATTAACTTAATTATCAGAATTAAAATAGAGTAAATGTGACCCTTCTATCACTTACTGTCATCTGGACAATGTAGGCCAGTAGCGTCAGTGAGGAGGGAGTGGTCAGCCATTGTTATTGTACTTAGACCAGAGGCACGGGAGCAATTCGGCCCCTGTTAATTTTACTTGGACCAAGTGTTATGGAAACCAAAGGTGTACCATCATCAACACGCTGTCAACCAATACAAGTTAAGTGTTCTGCCGAAACCCATTTATCTATCATTTATGGCCATTAATGTCATTAGATAGGGGCGACCCGGTTAGAATACGAACTGCCTCTTAATAAAAGGTAATTAAGCCTAGGTCGTTATGGTTCCTTGTACAGTGTTTTCTCTGATATAGCTGTCATATATTAGGATTCTGGCTTCATAGCTAGCGCCCTTTTGACAGGTCAAGACGAGGAAGCATGCTTTGTGTACCAGTTACTGGGTGATGGAAGCTACCTCAAAGAGGATAATTTGGTGTCTACATCCTGGTTATACCTGGTGGACTAAGGCCTGATGTACAATAAGATAAGGAACCTCTTTAATGTACACTAATGTGTAGTTAATACTATAGTTTGATTGGCTGCATATATATAAATTCAATATAAACCCCCCTAGGTTAACAGATGCATTAGGTGATTGGAAACGCACCCAATTATTTCTGTCCCTCAAAGCATTCAAACCCGGTATTCTCAATTGTGAGTCTAGAATTAACGCATATATAGCATTACAACCCGTCCTCATAAACTATAGCCAAAGTCCATTCCATGCACCCGCCAAACCCCCCCCCCCCCCCCCCGCTTATGAATGAAAAACAGCTTTTACGCACGACTCACAACTGATGACGTCCGAATACTTCCAGATCATGTGCTTCACTGACGACTTTTGTTCGAACCACAACGCTGTAAATGCTTCACCCAACGTACTACAAATACAAATAATCCCCAACAGAATGTAAACACCTAACCTAACCAATGCCTAAATATGTACAACATGCTAATATATAACAATATTAATTTATATTTGAGAAAATTCTAATTTTGAATGAACAGCATTTTAAAGTTGATAAATACGTCTTTGAGGTCGACTGCTGGATGGTTTGGACTTGATCGGGTGGCGGGTTGACTACTAGCATGAGCACAACAGATTTTGAAAACAAAACTGGCATTCACATGCTCTCAACCCATGATCCTGATTCCTATAATTTGATATTTATAAACACATATATATAGTACCAAAAAAGCTTTGATACCGGGGAGATATCAAAATCACCTAAATCTGCACATTATATATTTTTATTTATTTATTCATGTATAAGTAAATACACTGGGTTGTTAGAGTACATAACATTGGTGTTCATACAGTTGTTGTTATAGATTCAGCTACTGGGAATAAAAAGTTCCAATTTTTTTTTTTTTTTTTTTTTTTTTTTTAACATGCGAACATGCGAATAAATACAATAAAATAATAAACTAATAACAAACAATCAGACAACAAAAAAATACAGAGGCACAAAGCAAGTTAATACAAAGTAACACAAATACACTAAATACCGGCCCGAAGGGCCGACAACAAAAACACAACAAGGAGCATAAACACAATGAAACACAACACCGGACAGAAGGGTAACGGAAATATGATAAATACAACAAAAAAAACAACAACACCGGCCTGAAAGGCGCACAATAGGTACACCACATTGCAACTAACCACAGGTCACAGCAAGCACACAGACTACTCAAAGTGTTCATACTTATCCGGCCACACCGCCGCCGGGAATCGAACACAATACGCCTCCCACAGTAACATTACGTCATTCGGAACAGGTACAGTATTAACAGTACGAGGATCAGGCATTAACTCCGGCACACCCACAACAAAACACCGAGCCCGCTGTACCCATATGGAAGAAGGGCACCACGGAACAGGATGCACGCGGTCAATAATGTCAAACCGCAAAGGATGCTGCGCATCATGCGCCACTCCGGAGGCCAAGATGAGAAGGAGGGGCTCCTTCCCACGAGGCCGGGCAATGGGCAGCGCACTGGGAGCCTCCTCGGCCGCCTCACAGTGCTCCGCGTCAACCACCGGACATTGTTCCTGCCGGGACCCCCCACGCTTGGCATCCTTCTTCAGTACCAGCTTGATGCCTCGGCTCGCACCAGAACTCTCACCATCCACGTCAGTAGGAGCGACCACCCCCCACTGCGGAGAACCTTCTGCAGGAGAAAGAACAGGAGGTAAATCATAGGTACAAACATCGTCAACAGCAGACACATGGACGTCAGCCACCACCAGCGTCGTAGAGCGCGAAGCACCCGGATTCGCCACATCATCTCCCGAAGCACCACCCGCGTCGTAGTCCTCCGCATCAGCCCAAGCAGTAGAAGAACGCCTGGAACGCTTGGGCACTGGCCGCACATCCTCACAGCCGGAGGCGGACCCAGAACCACGGGCCTCACGAACTGGGCGAACCGACGCTCGTCGCAGAACGGCAGCAGCCTCTACCACAGGGGGAACCGGACCACACACAGTAGGAGGTTCCGCAGCCACCCCAGCACCCAGCACAGGAGGAACCCGAGGGGAGGACGCAGGGCCAGGGTCCACAGCCGAAGACGAGGAAGCCGACGGCGACGCTCCACAGGGATCACCAGGAAGGTCCATGGGAACGGCAGGGCCAGAGACAAGGTCAGGAGGAACATCCGACGGCACCGCAACACCCGGAGGAGGGTCTGCGACAACCGGGGGAACGTCGGGTGACGCTGGGGGAGCCTCAGCAGCGAACGGGACGCTCACCTCCTCACCCCAGGAGTCCTCCTCCAGAGGGAGCGGCGGGAAATCCTCCTCACGGAACAAGTTCACAGGAGCGACCGGATCAGCAGTACACCCGGCAGCCTGATGCCCCAACAAGCCACACCGGAAGCAAGTACGGGGTTGCCGGGCATAAAACACACGAACGTAGTACCCCAACAGCCGGACAGAGCACGGTATGTCCGACCTCAGTCGCATCTCGAGGGTCCGAATGTTGGTCTTCACACCCGAATACGTACCAGACGATAGTGAGTTCATCCGCACACTGATGACGGAGCCGTACCTCTGGAAGAATCGCCGGAGGAGAGTCTCGGGAAACTCCATGGGGGCGCCATGAACACTGACATACGTCACAGCACCACTACGGTCTGAAATGGTCACAGACCCGGTGCCGGCCTGTAGCTGCATAGTACGTCCCTCGTACCTCCGTAAGAAAGCACGGTACACCGCCTCACCCACAAACTTGACAATAACATGGTGAGCAGTTACCAGCTCAATGCCATATACGTCCCCAACCGGGACACGAAGCATGTCACTCAATACCACGTCCACCAGCGGGTAACCAGCACGGCCAGTAAACTCCGTAACCAGCACGGCCAGTAAACTCCAATCCGATGGAGTTTACCCTCACGACAGGGGGAAGATGGCCGCCCATCGTAAAAGCGCCACGTCCACACCACCAGGAACAGCAGGGAGGGTAGAGACACCCACACCCCCTGCCGGCGAAAACGGCAACCACCCCAAACTACCGGAGCGATCAGGCGACACATCCTCACTACACGGCAGCTCAGGAGCAACTCCAGAGAGTACATAACATTGGTGTTCATGCAGTTGTTGTTATAGATTCAGCTACTGGGAATAAAAAGTTCCAAGTAGCACGGGCTATGGTGAGCCCGTAGTGGACTTACCTGGCACAGGAGCGGGGCTGTAACTGGGTTCATACAGTGATGTTGCATGGCTTAAGTACTCATCAGTCAACTTAAGTAGATTAGAAAGTGTAGCAGACAGCGCTAACACTTCGATAAGTACAGACACTTCAACAGTTCTCGATAGAGAGAGACAGACCAGAAGGACAGATATTTGCAAATCCACAAGGGCCGTGACGAGGATTCGAACCTGCGTCCGGGAGCATCCCAGACACTGCCTTAATCGACTGAGCTACGACAGGGTAAAAAAATTGAAACCGAAGTTCTACTGAACTTACTAGATCCCGTAGCCTCTCCGAGGTACAAACCAGGATTTTACACAACTCCCCCCTGCACCCGAGCTATGTCAAATTGTTCATTTGATGCACCACGTTAGTGTGATCTCTGTGTGTAACAGACATTTGCGTTTGCGTTAGGGGCATCTGCCGACATTGATTATTCTGGGAATAGAAGGGGATATCCTTAGGAAAGGAAAATGTTGATTTGGATCAACATGTAGGCTTTTCACATTCTTTCATGTGCAAAACCTCACTTGAGGACAGAAAATGCTATGACCTTAGCTGCCATACTTTCAAGTGAAAGACACGGAACGCTACATTAACAGGGGCAAACAAGAAAATGACTTTAGAGGAAAGTCAAATAAGTTTTTATACCCAGACGAAAGAGGTTTCAAAAGATGGAACAGAGACAATGTTTGGAACTGGATGAAGATCTACTTGCATACCAGAATCACAGATACAATTACACACCAAAACGAAGCTACAATTACGATAGGCAACTGCCTTACAACAATCAGTACTGGTCAGTAAAAATCCGAAATGTCTACTCATAATGGATCTGTCAGAAACGTTTCTCAGTCAAACTACCTCAAACAGAGTAACCTCATTCATCTTTGCCAACATACAACGACTAAAAACAAGAGCAAAAACAAAGTGCCGTTCATAAATGGCCTCTTCACTTAGTCAAATGCAGCACTTAGAGCTTTCACAGAAACGCATGCAGTGGAACTCGTGGACAGTGAGATATGAGTTCCAGAAAATAATCTATATAGATGTGATAGGATAAATAGGTCCCATGAAGGAGTGGGCCTGTATATTAGGGAAGACCTTGTATACTCGAAGCTCCTTAAGGGGCTATTTACCAGGAACTATGAGTTGTTGTAGGGTATTCATAATTTATTATTCTGATACATGTGAAAGGTGCTGCAACTAGGCCAAGTTTCAGCATCTCAGCCTAAATAGAGGAGAAAAAAAATAAAAATAAAAAAATAAATAAATAAAATAAATAAATAAATATAGAAGAAAATGCAGAATAGAACCAGAGAAGAGCAGAGGTGCCATCAAAGAACACTATGAACATCAGAGGTGCACGGTTGTTCAACATACTCCCAGCGAGTATAAGCAATATTGCCAGAACAAACGTGGACACCTTCAAGAGAAAAGTAAATAGTTTTCTTCAAGAAGTGCCGGACCAACAGACCTGTGGTGGATATGTGGGCCTGCGGGCCGCTCCAAGCAACAGCCTGTTGGACCAAGCTCCCACAAGTCGAACCTGACCTCTGGCCGGGCTTGGTGAGTAGAAGATCTCCCAGAACCCCATCCAGGTACAATCCAGGCATTAAAATTGGGTGAACGGGTAGCACATGGTACAGTGTAAGTTTGAAGCACAAGGTAGGAAACAATGAGGGTGAAATTAGGTACTTTTTTCTTTTTCTTTTGAATAGAGCATAATTCATTTGGGAGTGAGTTCCATAGAGTGGGTCCATATTTTTGCATGGAGTGTTGCACAGATTTAGTCTGACTCTGGGAATATCAAAGACATATTTGTTTCTGGTGAGGTGCTCATGAGTTCTCTTACATCTATCATGGAAGAGTTCCAGATCAGGATTAGCATTTAAGAACAGGGTTTTGTACATGAAAATAGCATAAGAGAATGTGTGGAGTGAGTATGTTCATCATTTTTAAGGATTTAAACAGAGGGGCTGTGTGTTGTCTCAATCACTTAAATCATTACACAAGGATGACAGCAAAGTATTGGTTAAAAACTATTTACCAGTCACATAACATCGCATATACGTAAAGGTTTGATAGAGTGATTAGAAATCAAATATCTAGCTTAATGGAGAAAAATGAACTTCACAAACTGGTCAAAATGGATTTAGAGCTGGAAGATCCTGTCTTTCGCAATTACTTAGCCTCTACGACAAAATCACAGAAGCATTACAAGAAAAACAAGAGGCAGGTGTTGCATATAAGGATTCTTAAAGGCGCTTGAAATATGTGACAGGGGTTTGGCAATTGTTATGGTCTGTATCCAGGGAATGGTTACCCATTAGTATCACTAAGTACAGAGTTCCTGTCCCCTGACACCGTACGCCATACAGAGAGGGGCCAACGTTCCACTTGCTTGAAACGCAAAAGCGTGTTAGTGGCTTTGTAATAATGTACCTCGTAATCTTCAATGTATTTATTCCACAAAACAGTGTTGTTGTTGTTGTTGTTATTGATTTAGGGGCGACGACGATCACGGGACCGGATGCACTCCGGCGTACCCGTAAATGGTTAATAGCGAAGCCCGGAAATGTGAAACGCCAAGCCTAATCGCGAAACGAGTGATGCCAATCACTTAAAACTAGTATGCCTCGCGGCAAATAACCGCAAACGGGCAGATAATTGGAGAGCCCCAGGAGTCCCTCAGGGTGACAAGCACCAGTCCCGCTCCACAGAGAACACTGGGCAGCAAAACCAAAAACTCGGCTCCCAACTAAAACGCAAAAGTCTTCCAGTGTCCTCCGGCAGAACAGTAGCCAGCCACCCACCACGGCTGAGGGCACACCTGGAGCCCGCCAAGACATCCCATCTCCCGGCACCTCTCGGCCAAGCCGGCCCACGAACACCGTCACTCCGCCGGGAGAACCAGCCAGAACACGTCAAAAAAAAAAAAAATTCTATCAACAATCCCGTGACCCAAGGCGATATGTGCGCCAGGCGTCGTACAACCGGACCGTTGAATAGATATGCCATAAGGCAGTAGCAAAGCCAAAACGCGAAAACAGGACGTGAACCGGCGGGTCACAGGCGGAGGAGGTGTCCAGACGTCCGTTCATCGTCAAGGTTGAACAAGGAGTCCGCAAAACAGAATAACTTCTTGAAAACACGACCTTGAGAAGAAGTATAGGTTAGGAATTGTCTCCAAAGAATTCTCAAAGAATTACTCATTATTGCTATCTAAGATAATTAGACGAGCCAAAACTAAATACTACGAAGATAAATTTACTCAAATAAAGAGCAACATTAAACAAACTTGGAGCACAATTTCACAAATATTGGGATCAAAGAAATCTTTAAATAACAAACCGACTCTCCTGTCTAATAACGATGGTCAGCTTTCAGCCTCTGATTCTGCTATTGAGTTCAATAGGTTCTTCTCTTCCATTGGTTCATCCCTTGCAAATGATATTCCATCTTCCAGTACTGACATTAAGGACTATCTTACAGGTAACTATCCACAGTCTCTGTACCTAAAGCCTATTAACTCCACTGACGTCAATGAGATAATCCTTTCCCTTAAAACCAAGTCTGGTGCCCTTGAGGAGATACCAACTTTAATTTACAAAAAAGCCTCCAGATCTTTAGCCCCTGCTATTGCTTTGCTCTTCAACAAGTCACTTGAACTCCAAACCTTTCCAGATATTCTAAAAAAAGCGAGAGTAACGCCTGTCCACAAATGTGGTGACCCCACAGATGTTAACAACTACAGACCTATATCAATCCTGCCAAACTTGTCAAAAATTTTTGAAAAACTTATATACAAGCAGCTTTACTCATATCTAGCCAAACTCAATATACTTAGCCCTTGCCAATATGGCTTCAGACCCAAAAAAAGCACTAACGATGCACTTATTAGTATGCTTAACTCGATTCATACAGCTCTTGATAAAAAGGAGTTCCCTGTTGGGTTATTTGTGGACCTGCGTAAAGCTTTTGATACTGTCAACCACCATAACCTTCTTCTTAAATTACATCATTATGGAGTCAGAGGACACTCCCTACAATACCTCGAGTCCTACCTTACTGACAGGCTCCAATATGTTTCTGTGAATAATACAATTTCTCCCACCCTACCCATCAACATTGGTGTTCCTCAGGGCAGCATACTTGGCCCTCTCCTCTTTCTCATCTACATTAATGACCTTCCAAATGCCTCCCAACACCTCAAACCAATTCTATTTGCTGACGACACAACCTTCATTTACTCCAGTCCTGACCCTCTTGCTCTAAATGCCACAGTAAATACTGAGCTAAATAAAGTCCATCTTTGGCTAACTGCCAACAAACTCACCCTTAACATTGACAAAACCTTCTATATTCTGTTTGGCAATAAATCCTCTAGTCTTATAAATCTCAAAATAAACAATACCCAAATTTGTAACAAATTAGATGGCAAATTCCTTGGCATTCTCATTGACCACAAGCTGAATTTCCAGGGACACATTCTAAATATATCAAAAAAAGTTTCAAAAACTGTGGGCATTCTTTCTAAGATCAGATATTATGTACCACGCCCTGCCTTGGTGACTCTCTATTACTCCCTTATCTATCCTTATCTCAACTATGGTATTTGTGCTTGGGGTTCTACTACCCAAAATCACTTACGTCCTCTAATTACCCAACACAAAGCCGCTATTAGAACAATATCCAACTCTGGCCCCAGACATCACTCGGTACCCCTACTCAAATCTCTTAATATGTTAGATATTAAGTCACTGCACATTCTCTCATGTGTATTATACATATATAAAACGCTAAACTATAATGCCAATCCTGATCTTAAAAGCTTCATAGAAGGTTGTAACAGAACCCATGAGCACCACACCAGAAATTAATACAGTTTTGATATTCCTAGAGTACGTCTTAATCAAACTAGAAATGCTCTGCAAATCAAGGGGCCCAGAATGTGGAATGACCTTCCCAACCATGTTAAAGACTGTACCTCTCTCAACCAGTTTAAGATAAAAACTAAACACTACCTAATAAATTCCCTGTAATCTACCTCACTCCTCTATTGTCAACCCATGTCTGTTATTTTCTTTTTTTTTTTTTTTTTTTTAATCAACACTGTTTGTCAACCTATTGTATTTGTGCTGCTTTTTCAGTCATGTTCCCCCTTTTTTTTATCTTTATTTGTATTTGTTCTCAACACCTTTTATTCTTTATGCTCAATTAGTATTAAGTTCTAGATATTAATGTTTTTCTTGCCCGAAACGCATTGCGTAACAGTGGCTTTAGGCATTGTATGTACTAGCTCTATCTATATATCAATCCATTAATGTAACATCACTTGTATGTATATACCTTACCTGAATAAACATCTGAATCTGAATAAACATCTGAAAATACACAATAGTCTGTACTGAAAAAATATTCGTTTTCTAAGAGTAAGTTTATCGAAGAAAACTAGTTCTAGGGTAAACTACAAACGTAACTTCCACCACCGGATAAACTTCGCGTATGAATATTCATATTGGGAATAGGAAAGAGCTTATCTAGGTCACTGCTGCCAAGTAAAAGGGTATTTTCACAGTCAACATTCACATGAAAGCATATACATACACAATTCCTACCATATATCAAACACACTCAATGGTTCTTAATGTGTCTTTCATTGAACAATGCTAAAATTCCATTAGACCATTAATTACCTCTTAGAGCGAAGATCTTGAAAGAAACAAAATATACTATTTATAGCAAATAAATTATTTGAGTTACAGTAAATCTTTTCTTTAGATTCTTTAAAATGTAGTTATAATTGTTATTAATTTTTGTCTGGTAGTTTCTTGTGGTCTGGTAGTTTCTCGTGGTCTGGTAGTTTCTTGTGGTCTGGTAGTTTCTTGTGGTCTGGTAGTTTCTCGTGGTCTGGTAGTTTCTTGTGGTCTGGTAGTTTCTTGTGGTCTGGTAGTTTCTTGTGGTCTGGTAGTTTCTTGTGGTCTGGTAGTTTCTTGTGGTCTGGTAGTTTCTTGTGGTCTGGTAGTTTCTTGTGGTCTGGTAGTTTCTTGTGGTCTGGTAGTTTCTTGAGGTCTGGTAGTTTCTTGTGGTCTGGTAGTTTCTTGTGGTCAGGTAGTTTCTTGTGGTCTGGTAGTTTCTTGTGGTCTGGTAGTTTCTTGTGGTCTGGTAGTTTCTTGTGGTCTGGTAGTTTCTTGAGGTCTGGTAGTTTCTTGTGGTCTGGTAGTTTCTTGTGGTCAGGTAGTTTCTTGTGGTCTGGTAGTTTCTTGTGGTCTGGTAGTTTCTTGAGGTCTGGTAGTTTCTTGTGGTCTGGTAGTTTCTTGAGGTCTGGTAGTTTCTTGTGGTCTGGTAGTTTCTTGTGGTCTGGTAGTTTCTTGTGGTCTGGTAGTTTCTTGTGGTCTGGTAGTTTCTTGAGGTCTGGTAATTTCTTGTGGTCTGGTAGTTTCTTGTGGTCAGGTAGTTTCTTGTGGTCTGGTAGTTTCTTGTGGTCTGGTAGTTTCTTGAGGTCTGGTAGTTTCTTGTGGTCTGGTAGTTTCTTGAGGTCTGGTAGTTTCTTGTGGTCTGGTAGTTTCTTGTGGTCTGGTAGTTTCTTGTGGTCTGGTAGTTTCTTGAGGTCTGGTAGTTTCTTGCGGTCTGGTAGTTTCTTGAGGTCTGGTAGTTTCTTGTGGTCTGGTAGTTTCTTGTGGTCTGGTAGTTTCTTGTGGTCTGGTAGTTTCTTGTGGTCTGGTAGTTTCTTGTTGTCTGGTAGTTTCATGTTGTCTGGTAGTTTCTTGTGGTCTGGTAGTTTCTTGTGGTCTGGTAGTTTCTTGTGGTCTGGTAGTTTCTTGTTGTCTGGTAGTTTCATGTTGTCTGGTAGTTTCTTGTGGTCTGGTAGTTTCTTGTGGTCTGGTAGTTTCTTGTGGTCTGGTAGTTTCTTGTGGTCTGGTAGTTTCTTGTGGTCTGATAGTTCGGACCTCGATATAAGCCTAACGTGTAAGACTACACTCTGGCTTCCTGTCCCCCGACACACTGCTTGTATTAGACGACTCATTTATCTTTCCTAGTGCAATAAGAGCTTATTGAAAGGGCTCACGTCCTATTTTACGGATTTTAGGGATTCCTTAATTATAATTCATTGTGTCGGGGGACAGGCAGCCAGAGTGTTTTTATACACATTAGGCTTATATCGAGGTCCACCGTCCCCCACCCTCTCCCATGGATTCACTCCCACTACAAGCTGACTACCTCCTGTACACCTACTTACTGCTAGGTGAACAGGAGCATTAAGTAATAGAAAATGGGCCCATTTCTGTCACCCCAGGAGGCCTGGTCGACGACCGGGCCGCGGGGACGCTAAGCCCCGGAAGCACCTCACGGTAACCTCAAGGTAAGGTAACCCCGCTTTCAGGCCAAGTCCATTACATCTAGCGGTCGACCCCAAAGACGCATTCATCAATTTTAACATGCTACTTATGTTTAACATGATTTTTTCAAATATAAATTAATATTGTTATATATTAGCATACCGTGCATATTTAGACACTTGTTAGATTAGGTTAGGTGATTAGGTCCTGATGACGATTATTTGTATTTGTAGTACGTGGGAGAAGCATTTCAACCCGTCCTGGACTCAAGTCCATTACATTAAGCGATCGACCCCACAGACGAATTCATCAATTTTAACATGCTGTTCATTCAAAACTGGAATTTTCTCAAAATATAAATTAAATTAATATTTATAATAATAATGATAAATAAATAATAATAATAATAAATAAATGTTTATTTAGGTAAGGTACATACATACAAGAGATTTTACAGAGAATGATGGATTTATAGATAGGGCTAGTACATACAATGCCTAAAGCCACTATTACGCAAAGCGTTTCGGGCATGAAAAACTTAAATGACTAAAGCTTAATACTAATTGAGCATAAAGAATAAAATGAGTAGAGAACAAATAAAAAAAAAGAGATAAAAAGGGGGGAACATGGCTGAAAAAGCAGCACAAATACAATTAGGTCGACAAACAGCGTCATTTAAAAAAAACCAGACATGGGTTGACAATTGAGGGGTAAGGTAGGTTACAGGGAATTTATTAGGTATAGCTTCGTTTTATCTTAAACTGGTTGAGAGAGGTACAGTCTTTAACATGGTTGGGAAGGTCATTCCACATTCTGGGTCCCTTGATTTGTAGAGCATTTCTAGTTTGATTAAGTCGTACTCTTGGAATATCAAAGCTGTATTTATTTCTGGTGTGGTGCTCATGGGTTCTGTTACAACCTTCTATGAAGCTTTTGAGGTCAGGATTGGCATTACAGTTCAGCGTTTTATATATGTATAATACACATGAGAGAATGTGCAGTGACTTAATATCTAACATATTCAGAGATTTGAGTAGGGGTACCGAGTGATGTCTGGGGCCAGAGTTGGATATTGTCCTAAGAGCAGCTTTGTGTTGAGTAATAAGAGGACGTAAATGATTTTGGGTAGTAGAACCCCAAGCACAAATACCATAGTTGAGATATGGATAGATGAGGGAGTAATAGAGAGTCACCAGGGAATGGAGGGGTACATAATAACTGATCTTAGAAAGAATGCCAACAGTTTTTGAATTTTTTTTTTGATATATTTAGAATATGTCCCTGGAAATTCAGCTTGTGGTCAATGAGAACGCCGAGGAATTTGCCATCTAATTTGTTACAAATTTGGGTATTGATAATTTTGAGATTTATTTGATTAGAGGATTTATTGCCAAACAGAATTTAGAAAGTTTTGTCAATGTTAAGGGTGAGTTTGTTGGCAGTTAGCCAAAGATGGACTTTATTTAGCTCAGTATTTACTGTGGCATTTAGAGCAAGGGGGTCAGGACTGGAGTAAATGAAGGTTGTGTCGTCAGCAAATAGAATTGGTTTGAGGTGTTGGGAGGCATTTGGAAGGTCATTAATGTAGATGAGAAAGAGGAGAGGGCCAAGTATGCTGCCCTGAGGAACACCAATGTTGATGGGTAGAGTGGGAGAAATTGAATTATTCACAGAAACATACTGGAGCCTGTCAGTAAGGTAAGATTTGAGGTATTGCAGGGAGTGTCCTCTGACTCCATAATGATGTAATTTAAGAAGAAGGTTTTGGTGGTTGACAGTGTCAAAAGCCTTACGCAGGTCCACAAATAACCCAACAGGGAACTCATTTTTATCAAGAGCTGCATGAATCAAGTTAATCATACTAATAAGTGCATCGTTAGTGCTTTTTTTGGGTCTGAAGCCATTTTGGCAAGAACTAAGTATATTGTGTTTGGCTAGATAAGAGTAAAGCTGCTTGTAGGTTAGTTTTTCAAATTTTTTTGACAAGTTAGGCAGGATTGATATAGGTCTGTAGTTGTTAACATCTGTGAGATCACCACATTTGTGTACAGGGGTTACTCTCGCTTTTTTTTAGAATATCTGGAAAGGTTTGGAGTTCAAGTGACTTGTTGAAGAGCAATGCAATAGCAGAGGCTAAAGATCTATTATAACATATTAGCATAATGTGCATATATAGGCATAGGTTAGGTTAGGTGTTTAGGTTCTGTTGGCAGTTATTTGTAGTACGTGGGTGAAACATTTACAGCTTTGTGGTTCGAACAAAGTTCGTCAGTGAAGGACTTGTTCTGGAAGTGTTCGAAAATCATCGGTTGTGAGTCGTGAGTAAACCGTTTTTCATTCATAAACAGCTGGAGTTGGCGGGTGGATGGAATCACTTTTGGCTATTTGTTTGGAGGACGGACTGGATAGTTTAGATGGGTTCGTTCTCGACTCACAATCAAGAATTGCGGATTCGAATCCCAGGCGATACAAAAATCAACCAGCCCTCATAAACAAAGGCTAAAGTCCATTCCATGCACCCACACCAAACCCCCCCTGTTTATGCAACCCGTTCTCACACTAGGCTGTTTTAAAGCAGCGGCTGTCCTCCCCAGACACATTCATAAGTTTTAACATAATATGAATTAAAAATTGGTTTATTCTCATATATAAATTAATATTATTATACATAAAAAAATTTGTATAGTTAGTCATAGATTTCGTTTAACCCGTTCTCACACAAGACAGCACATATATGACTTAATGCTTAAAGTCAATATGTTGAATGCGAATTAGTACATATGTGATATATTCCCAGTTACCTTTATTTCCAAGGCCCAAACTCTTCCTCACGTACCAATTTACGTCTCACAGTACCCGTCCATCAACGTAGATAACAGAATAGTCGTGATTGGTTCAATTATAATGAAAATTGTAGTTTTCAGGTCCCACATGGGTTGTGAAATTTACCTACTATTGTCCATGCTCTTAGAATATTACAGATCAACTACATCCTATTGAAGGCTCGTAGTTTTGTTTTGAGAAATATTAGTTGTTCTTAGTAAATTATAATAAGCACTAAAAATTATTACATAGAATAACAGTGCTTCACCAATCAATATTATATACCATAGTTTGTGCTTTAAAAATCTTTAAAGATTGTTTTGTAGGAACGCTAACAGAAAACGATGTTACGTTGGAATGTGTATGGGGTAAACTACTGCAAACAGGATGGTATGGTAATAATAATAATAATATAATAAATATTTATTTAGGTAAGGTACATACATACAAGAGATTTTACAAAGAATGATGGATTTATAGATAGGGCTAGTACATACAATGCCTAAAGCCACTATTACGCAAAGCGTTTTCGGGCATAACAATGGTGTCTACTATACCAACTATAGGATGGGTATACTGTCCACTTTTTTTTTTTTTTTTTTTTGAGATATATACAAGAGTTGTTACATTCTTGTACAGCCACTAGTACGCGTAGCGTTTCGGACAGGTCCCTGGAATACGATCCCCGCCGCGAAGAATCGTTTTTTCATCCAAGTACACATTTTACTGTTGCGTTAAACAGAGGCTACAGTTAAGGAATTGCGCCCAGTAAATCCTCCTCGGCCAGGATACGAACTTCTACCTGTTAGGTGGGTAAGGGGTCCAATACCACCAACAGGATGAGTATGGGGGTCACATACACCCACAGGATGGGTATGGGGATCACATTCACCCACAGGAAATGTATGGGGTCCAATACCATCTACTGGATGTGTATGGCGTCCACTACCACCAAGGAGCGAGTACACACGTCTGACCTTCCCTAAAGGCACTAGTGTGGTGGACAGGATTGCGTGGAGTAAGACACTGAGCGTGGTGTACCCACCTGGCTCTGCAGGCGTGGTACGTCCACATGTCAACTCCCCATATATGTATGTTTCAAGAGAGAAGGAGCAGGTTGTGGAGGCTCTTCTACAAGGGGAAATAGGTGATGTAAAGCTCTCCCCTCTAGATAATCCAACACGGAACAAGAAGATGGATGAATACCTAGTCTACAGGTACAGTCACAGGTATCCACTAGAGTGGGCCTATGAATTAGACGGGGTACACAGAGCACGAAGATTGACCATGAATGGTAAGCCTACTGATCAAATAGTCATAGTCTGGAAAAAGCCTGATGCGCCACCTGACCAGTATTGGTTTGGTGGGTTCTATGCGCCCCAGCACGCTCAGGGTGTGGGAGCCGAACCCTGTGGAGTGTTACGAGTGCTGTGGCAGTGGCCACATAGCTAAGCACTGCCGGTGCCCCACACCCAAGTGTGCTCTCTGTTCCGGTCCTCATCCACTGAAGGACTGTCAGTATAAGAAGACCAGACACCAAAGAAAGCAGGAACAGAAGCAACAGAACACTGCAACAGAAGCAGGGCAACATCCTGAATCTGTGGCTCCGTCTAAACCGCCGCTGAAGTGTTTCAGATGTGATATGGAGGGAGTCACCATCTGGCACTCAGACTGTACC